ATGCCGTCTGATAGAGAAGTTGATCAGTCTAGAAGGGTTGCATCAGCCTGAGAGGGCAAGCGACCCGTACAAGCCAGGGGAGCATCAGTGCCTAGGACAATCAGCCAGGCGGTTGGTTGCTGGTGTGGGTGCCACTCACAACAAGCGGCTCGCCACTCACACTGTTGGTGTACCAAGTTCCAGTGCGGGGTGTTGGGGGTGCTGGGGTGGGGTGCTGCTTTCAGCCAAGTTCTGGTTCGGCCAGCACCAACTTAGCAATGAGGCATTGGGTTCACCAAGAACAGGGTGTTCGTGCACCACAAACAGGGTGTTCGTGCACCACGAACAGGGTGTTCGTGTTGCAAGTGAGAGAATTGATGCATTGAATAATGAGCCAAGAGGCTCTTTAGTACAAACAATGAGCAAGAGAGAGATGAGAGGGAAGCTTACTCTATTGGCCAATAAGTTGGCCAATGGGTGAGCTTGCTTGTGACCCAAGCAACCACAAATGTGTGTTGGTTGGGATTGGTTGAGCTAAGGACCAATCCCAACCAACCACAAAATGTGGTTGGAGGGTACACTAAGCAACCCCCCAATTGATAAAATGTGCTACACTTCTAGCCTATGTATGTTGTATAAAATATGAAATTACAACACAACCCCCCAACATGCATAAGGCTAGAAGGCTAGAATCAAGAGGCGGGAGGAGACTTAGGAGGAGTGAGGCCAAGAAGACGAAGTAGGAAAGAGTGAGCGGCGTGAGGAAGAGCTTTTGTGAAGATGTCGGCAAGGTTGGCCGCCGAGTCAACCTTGTCGAGGCGAAGGTGCCCCGCCTGAACAAGATCGCGAATGAAGAAATGACGGAGCTCAATGTGCTTGGAGCGCCCGTGAAACACAGCATCTTTGGTGAGGTGAATGGTACTAGCATTGTCACACCAAATTGTGGGACAGCGCTGGGGGGCACCAAGTTCCTCAAGAAGGAAGGTGAGCCAGCGGGCCTCTTGCGCAGCCATGGTGGCGGCATACAATTCCGCCTCGCAGGAGGAGAGGGCTGCAGCCGAGGAGCGGGTGGAGCGCCAGCTGATAAGGCCGCTGCCAAGAGAGAAGCCATAGCCCTGGGAGGAGCGACGATCTGGCCGGGAATCAGCCCAGGAGGAGTCACTGTAGCCGCAGAGGAGAGGTGGGGAGGGGCCGCCAAGGGTAAGGACATAGTCCTTGGTGCCACGAAGGTACCGGAGGACACGCTTGGCGGCCTGCCAGTGCTCTTCCGTATGCTTGCCTGCGCCAACAAAACGAGCGAGGACGCTGATGGGGTAGGCAAGGTCAGGGCGAGTGGAGACCATGGCGTACATGAGGGAGCCGATGAGCTCGGGATAAGGATGGGAGGAGGCTGAGGGGGAGGTGGGTTGAGAGAGGTGGTGCCCGACAGAAAGAGGAGTAGGTTGGGCGCCACCGCGGACCATGTCAAACCGCTCCAAGACCTGCTGCAAGTAATGACCCTGGGAGAGAGAGATGGTGCGGGCGGAGCGGTCGCGGGTGATGGTCATGCCCAGGTAATGCTGCAGCTCTCCCAAGTCCTTGCACTTGAGTCGGCTACCCAACTCAGCCTTAACACGTTCCAACTCAGCAAGGTCGGCGGTGAGTAGAAACATGTCATCGACATATACAAGGATGTAGAAGGGGGAGGGGGAGGTGCGGAGGAAGAGGCTGGCGTCGGAGCGGGAGGTGCGAAACCCAAGTTCACCAAGGGTGGCGGCAAGCTTAGCATGCCACTCTCTAGGGGCCTGTCGGAGCCCATACACAGGTCGACGCAACTGCCAGACAGAGTCTGCTGGGAAGGGAAGGTGAAAGCCGGCTGGACGCTCCATGTAGATAAGCTCGCGGAGGACGCCTTGTAGGAAGGCGTTAGAAACGTCCATCGAGTGGATCTCCATATTGAGGCGAGCGGCGAGGTCGAGCACGGCGCGAACAGTAGCAGGCTTGGCAGTAGGGGAGAAGGTATCGAAGAAGTCAAAACCATACCGCTGCGTGAACCCCTTGGCGCAGTAACGAGCCTTATAGACGGGCGGCTCCCCTGGCAGCTGCTTGACGCGAAACACCCACTTTCCTTTCACCACGTTCGTAGGGGCGGGAGGGCGAGGCACATCGACAAAAGAGGAGTTGCCGATAAAGGCCTCCAGCTCCTTGATGATGGCGGCGAGCCATAGCGGAGCGTCAGGGCACGCCATTGCCTCCTCGTACGTGGTAGGAACGAAAATAGAGGGAGCAGAGGAGAAGGCGAAGACAGGTGTGCCGGAGAGATCGAACGTGATGGGTAGAAGCAAGGAGTCATAAAGGTGGAGGTCAAGGAACTCCTCATGGGAGTCCTCAGAGAGGGAGGTGTGGAAGGCGCGGATGACTGCTGGTGCCGCAGCTGGTGCTGCTGGTGGAGGCGTTGCCGGTGCCGGTGCTGGTACTGCTGCTGGTGCCGCTGCTGGTACTGCTGCTGGTGCCGCTGCTGGTGCCGCTGCTGGTGCCGCTGCTGGTCCTGTTACTGGTGCCGATGCCGCTCCCGCTGCTGCTGCCGCTGCTGGTCCTGCTGCTGCTGCGGCTGCTGGCGCTGCTGCTGCTGCTGGAGCCGCTGTTGGAGAGGAGTTGGCTGAGGGGGCTGTTGCATGAGGGGCTTGATGCAGGACAGCCTGGAAGAAGTGACGAAGGAGGGGGGAGAGAGGGGGGAGGGTAGAGGTAGAGAGGGTAACGGGAGGCGGTGCATCAAGGATACCGTCACGTGACCTGGTGTGGGGATACCGGGTGAGTATGGTGCGGGAAGGCGGAGGAGTGGTTAGTGGCGAGGGAGAGGAAGGGGGGGGGGGAGGGGTACTAGGAGAGGAGTGAGCGGGGGAGACAGGGGAAGACAGAGGTTCCGGGTCAAAGATGTCACCGGAAGAGGGAGGGGCACCATGGGACTGGGACGGCGGAGAAGGGGGGGGTGGGAGGATGGGGGGAGGAGGGAGTAGTGGGGGAGGGGTGGTGTCAGACCAGACAAGGGGACGGGTGAGAGGGGGGAGTGGGTCAGTAGATGTGGGAGAGGAGTAGTAGGGAGTGGACTCGTCAAAGACCACATCCCTGCTGCGGATTAGACGACCGGATGGGGGGTGGAGGAAAAGGTAGTCGGGGGAGGAGGGATTATGACCAAGGAAGATGCAAGGAAGGGTACGAGGGGCAAGCTTTCCCATGGAACGGGAGCGGTCAGAGGGGTGAATGAGGACATGTGCCTTAGAGCCCCAGACACGAAGTGAGGAGGCATCAGGCTTGTCCTTCGTCCACAGCTCAGTGGGGGTGATGGAGGGGACAAGTGGGTGAGGGTAAAGGTTAGTAAGGAGGGCGGCATGAAGGAGGGCGTAGCCCCAAAGAGAAGGGGGGCAGGAAGCGTGAACAAGCAGACACCGGGCTGTTTTGGTGATCTCTCGAACACGACTCTCAGCCACGCCGTTCTGTTGTGGGGAGTGAGGGAGGGTGTAAGTCTGAAGGATGCCATGAGACTGACAATAGGAGGAGACTTGGTTGTTAAGAAACTCACCACCTCCATCAGAGTGAAGGCGGCGAACAGGGCGTCCAAAATGGGTGTTTGCCCGCTCGAGCCAGGCGATGATCGCTGCCGGGGCATCCGCCTTCGTTCGAAGGAGAGAGACGGATGAGTACCGACTGTGATCATCAACAAGCACGAGAAGGTAGCGATGGCCCTGGCGAGTGGGAGAGGGATTAGGGCCCCATAGGTCCATGTGAACAAGATCAAGTGGCTGCGCAGCAGCGGAGGGGGAGCTCCGGTGCGGCTGCTGCTTGAGCTTGCTCTGAACGCAGACGGTGCAGGGGGGTGCAGGGGATTTGGGGAGGGGAGGGAGGGAGGAGGGGAGACCGTGGAGGAGACCGGAGGAGACAGAGGAGCGCAGAGTAGCGAAGTTGGGGTGGCCTAGCCTGTGATGGAGGAGGATGGTGGGGTGGGAGAGGGAGCGACAGGAACAGTCAGAGTCAGGAGGGCGGGGGGGGGAGGGGTGGGTTAGTGGGAGGAAGGGGAGGGGGGGGGGGGAAGGAGGGGGGGGGAGGCAACTTGGAAGGTGAGGGGGCGGGGAACCCGAAGGGTGTACAGACGGGAGCGAGGACAATAGGGAATACGGGCGAGAAAACGACCTGTGGAGGTTTGGTATAGGTCACAATGGTTAGCACCACCTGGGATGAGAGTGGTGATCATGGCTTGTTGGAGGGACCTTTGGGAGAGGAGGTTAGTACGAAGGGAGGGAATGTGGAGACCGGTGACAGTACCTGAGGGAAAGAGAGGACAGGGAAGGGTGGAGGTGTTGTGACAGGGGATGGAAAAACTGCTATCAGCGCCGAGGAGGGAGGTTGGTGTGGGGAGAGGGCGCAGTGTACCAGCGTCGCGAAGGACAGTGTCAGTGGCTCCACTGTCCAGAACGAAGTCAATGGTGGAAGAAGGTGAGACAGAGTACTGGAACGAAGTTTCATTAGCAGAAGAAGGGTACATGGTAGATGCAACAGATTCAGGTTGACCTAATAAACCAACAAAACCAGAGGAAGGGAAAGCGGTCACACTGCCACCTGCAGACGGCGCCGGGGATGCACCCGAGAGATGGGCTGCAGAGGCAGCACTCCCAGCAGTCCAGGTAGGAAAGTGCTGTTGCTGGGAAACCGGAGGAGGAGGGAGGAGGGGCAGTTGCGGCTGGAGGTCGAGCTGCTGCTGGAGATGCTGGAGCTGCTGCTGGAGCTGAGAGAGGAGAAGCTGCTGCCCATACTGCTGTGACCCCTGCTGCTGATTCCCAAGCAACTGCTGCTGCTGTTGCTGCTGCTGGTGCTGCTGCTGGGGAGGGGCGAGGGCCTGGTGAGCGTGGGTGGAGGAGGGAGGTTCATAGAGGGGAGAGGAACGGACCTCAAGGGGAGTGGGGCGAGGGTTGAGGGCGGACCAGCGAGGAGGGGTGCCGGTGTTGCCACGGGCAAACCACTCATCACTGAGTGCCTTGAAGCACGTCTCAGTGGCATGGGTAGTTTGGCCGCAGCGCTGTCCCTGAGTGGGACCGTAGCGAGGCAGATACTGACAGGGAGGAAAGGCAGCTGCCGTACCACGACCCGCACCACTGCTGCCAGCACCACCGCGACCTACTGATCCCCCTCGTCCACCCCCACGCGCACCACCACGCCCACCCCCACGCCCACCGCCACGGCCACCCCGGTTGCTGCGCGACTGGGCTGCTGCGGCTGTGGAGGAAGAGTGGCGAAGGATCTCAGCTTCGGTGGTGATAATCCACTGAGCGACTTCGGCAGGGGTGTGGTGCTTGGAGATAAGCTGCATGTAAGCAAGCTTGTGAGCGTCGAAGGCAGGTGTGAGGCCCTCGAGGAGGTGGCAGCAGATGACGGTGTCCGGGTACACCACATCGAGTGCTGCAAGGCGCCGAGAAAGGTCTAAGACACGGCGAGTGAAAGCAGCTGCGCCAGAAGTGGAATCCATGGAGAGAGTTCCAAACTCCTGGATAAGGGCGTAAAGAGTGGCAACGTCCTGCCGATCGAAAAGGTCGACCAGCAGTCGCCACAGGTGGGAGGAGGAGGTAGGTGAGAGCTCGCGTTTGAGGGAGGAGGGGATGGTGGCGAGAAGAATGGCAAGCGCACGTGACACGTCGATCAGCAACCCGCCAGGCAGTAATTTTCGTGGTGTAGTCTGCAAGTTCTGCAGTGTAGGTGTCCAGGTCCTCCTGGTACTTGTTGTAGCGGGCAGCGGCGTCGTCATAGATGCGCCTGTCATCCTCGTAACGCAGTTGCAGGCGCAGGTGCTCTTGGAGATTGGTGCGGTAGGTGCGAATGGCGGTTTCCGAGCTCTGCGGGTCGTTCACATTCGGCGCAAAGGCGGGAGGATCACCGGGGGGAGAGGGCTCGGCGCCAGGGTGGGCAGGGGCAGGTCCAGTAGGAGCGGTGGGGGCCGCGGGCTGAAGTCCACCGCCTTCCTGAAAGACAACCGAGCGAAGGTTGTAGCCGCTGACCACAACAGAGGAGAGGAGCACCTCGACGGAATGAGCATAAGAGTGCCAATTAGCAGCGGAGTTGTCAGGCAGCAACTCGAGTGCATCAACAGTGGCAAGGTCGACGGAAGAATCGGACGACGATGCCATAGAGATGAGGGTGGGTCGAGGCTAGGGCAGGAGGAGGATGGTGTGAGGGTACCGTTGCCAGTGCTGCTGCTGGCCCTGCTGCCCGTGCCGCTGCTGGTTCTGCTGCTGGTGCCGCTGCGGATGCTGCTGCGGGTAGGATGGGAGGAGGAGGAAGGGAGGAGCGGAAGGTGAGGAAGGTGGAGGAGGAGGAGGGCGATGCTATGGGGAATGCAAGGGGGAAGGGTGCTGCTGGTGGTGCCGCTGCAGGTGCTGCTGCTGGTAGGATGGGAGGAGGAAGGGAGGAGCGGAGGGTGGGTTGGGTGGAGGAGAAGGAGGGCGATGCTATGGGGGAGGGGCAGATCTGGGCGCGCGGAGGGCAGATCTGGGCGCGTGGAGGGCGGATCTGGGCGGGCGGAGTGCAGATCTGGGTGCGGGAGGAGGAGATCTGGTGGCGCGGAATCCAGATCTGGGCGCGGAATGATCAGATCTAGGCGCGGGAGGAGTAGATCTGGTCGCTGGAGGTGCAGATCTGGGCGCTGGAGGTGCAGATCTGGGCGCTGGAGTTGCAGATCTGGGCGCTGGAGGTGCAGATCTGGGCGTTGGAGGTGCAGATCTGGGCGCTGGAGGTGCAGATCTGGGCGCTGGAGGAGGAGATCTGGTGGCGCGGAATCCAGATCTGGGCGCGGAAACAGGGTGTTCGTTCACCACGAACAGGGTGTTCGTTCACCACGAACAGGGTGTTCGTTCACCACGAACAGGGTGTTCGTTCACCACAAACAGGGTGTTCGTTCACCACGAACAGGGTGTTCGTTCACCACGAACAGGGTGTTCGTTCACCACGAACAGGGTGTTCGTTCACCACGAACAGGGTGTTCGTTCACCACGAACAGGGTGTTCGTTCACCACGAACAGGGTGTTCGTTCACCACGAACAGGGTGTTCGTTCACCACGAACAGGGTGTTCGTTCACCACGAACAGGGTGTTCGTTCACCACGAACAGGGTGTTCGTTCACCACGAACAGGGTGTTCGTTCACCACGAACAGGGTGTTCGTTCACCACGAACAGGGTGTTCGTTCACCACGAACAGGGTGTTCGTTCACCACGAACAGGGTGTTCGTTCACCACGAACAGGGTGTTCGTTCACCGGTCACCACGAACAGGGTGTTCGTTCACCACGAACAGGGTGTTCGTTCACCACGAACAGGTGTTTCGTTCACCACGAACAGGGTGTTCGTTCACCACGAACAGGGTGTTCGTTCACCACGAACAGGGTGTTCGTTCACCACGAACAGGGTGTTCGTTCACCACGAACAGGGTGTTTCGTTCACCACGAACAGGGTGTTCGTGCACCCACGAACAGGGTGTTCGTTCACCACGAAACAGGGTGTTCGTTCACCACGAACAGGGTGTTCGTTCACCACGAACTAGGGTGTTCGTTCACCACGAACAGGGTGTTCGTTCACCACGAACTAGGGTGTTCGTTCACCACGAACAGGGTGTTCGTTCACCACGAACAGGGTGTTCGTTCACCACGAACAGGGTGTTCGTTCACCACGAACAGGGTGTTCGTTCACCACGAACAGGGTGTTCGTTCACCACGAACAGGGTGTTCGTTCACCACGAACAGGGTGTTCGTTCACCACGAACAGGGTGTTCGTTCACCACGAACAGGGTGTTCGTTCACCACGAACAGGGTGTTCGTTCACCACGAACAGGGTGTTCGTTCACCACGAACAGGGTGTTCGTTCACCACGAACAGGGTGTTCGTTCACCACGAACAGGGTGTTCGTTCACCACGAACAGGGTGTTCGTTCACCACGAACAGGGTGTTCGTTCACCACGAACAGGGTGTTCGTTCACCACGAACAGGGTGTTCGTTCACCACGAACAGGGTGTTCGTTCACCACGAACAGGGTGTTCGTTCACCACGAACAGGGTGTTCGTTCACCACGAACAGGGTGTTCGTTCACCACGAACAGGGTGTTCGTTCACCACGAACAGGGTGTTCGTTCACCACGAACAGGGTGTTCGTTCACCACGAACAGGGTGTTCGTTCACCACGAACAGGGTGTTCGTTCACCACGAACAGGGTGTTCGTTCACCACGAACAGGGTGTTCGTTCACCACGAACAGGGTGTTCGTTCACCACGAACAGGGTGTTCGTTCACCACGAACAGGGTGTTCGTTCACCACGAACAGGGTGTTCGTTCACCACGAACAGGGTGTTCGTTCACCACGAACAGGGTGTTCGTTCACCACGAACAGGGTGTTCGTTCACCACGAACAGGGTGTTCGTTCACCACGAACAGGGTGTTCGTTCACCACAAACAGGGTGTTCGTTCACCACGAACAGGGTGTTCGTTCACCACGAACAGGGTGTTCGTTCACCACGAAACAGGGTGTTCGTTCACCACGAACAGGGTGTTCGTTCACCACGAACAGGGTGTTCGTTCACCACGAACAGGGTGTTCGTTCACCACGAACAGGGTGTTCGTTCACCACGAACAGGGTGTTCGTTCACCACGAACAGGGTGTTCGTTCACCACGAACAGGGTGTTCGTTCACCACGAACAGGGTGTTCGTTCACCACGAACAGGGTGTTCGTTCACCACGAACAGGGTGTTCGTTCACCACGAACAGGGTGTTCGTTCACCACGAACAGGGTGTTCGTTCACCACGAACAGGGTGTTCGTTCACCACGAACAGGGTGTTCGTTCACCACGAACAGGGTGTTCGTTCACCACGAACAGGGTGTTCGTTCACCACGAACAGGGTGTTCGTTCACCACGAACAGGGTGTTCGTTCACCACGAACAGGGTGTTCGTTCACCACGAACAGGGTGTCGTTCACCACGAACAGGGTGTTCGTTCACCACGAACAGGGTGTTCGTTCACCACGAACAGGGTGTTCGTTCACCACGAACAGGGTGTTCGTTCACCACGAACAGGGTGTTCGTTCACCACGAACAGGGTGTTCGTTCACCACGAACAGGGTGTTCGTTCACCACGAACAGGGTGTTCGTTCACCACGAACAGGGTGTTCGTTCACCACGAACAGGGTGTACATTCACCACGAACAGGGTGTTCGTTCACCACGAACAGGGTGTTCGTTCACCACAAACAGGGTGTTCTTTCACCACAAACAGGGTGTTCGTTCACCACGAACAAGGTGTTCGTTCACCCGCATTACACCCAACACAGCTACCTCAACAAGTCCTTCTAACTATGCATGCATGCCCTTGCCGCCATCATGGGGTGGTGGTGCCACCGCACTTCACCGGACCAACAGGTGCTGGAGGGCAACACACCCAACGTGGATGTCACGGCACCAGGAGCAATTCTCGCCCTTGCCATGATGTACCTTCAGGTGGACTCCTGCTCCTTAGGTTGTAAACAAATTTCTCCATTCTGTGTTAAAGGCATCCAAAAGGCAGCTCCCTCTGTACGCTTGCTCCCCTCCTGTACAATTTCCTTCTTCCTCCCCACCCCCCCCCCCCCCCCCCCCACCGACATCCCTTCCCCTGTAACCCATCCTCCCCGCCGGCCATCCACCCCCCCCACCGACGCGCACCCCGGCAGTCCAACAACGAGGCGGTGGCGGCGCGCCTGGCCCCGCCAGCAACGCACTTCGCCCTCGAGTTTGTGCGCCCCGACTTCATCCTCCTGCGCGTCCTCGCGTGCTCCCTCATCCTCTGGGACAGGTGCGCTCATCCTCTGGGACAGGTGCGCTCATCCTCTGGGACAGGTGCGCTCATCCTCTGGGACAGGTGCGCTCATCCTCTGGGACAGGTGCGCTCATCCTCTGGGACAGGTGCGCTCATCCTCTGGGACAGGTGCGCTCATCCTCTGGGACAGGTGCGCTCATCCTCTGGGACAGGTGCGCTCATCCTCTGGGACAGGTGCGCTCATCCTCTGGGACAGGTGCGCTCATCCTCTGGGACAGGTGCGCTCATCCTCTGGGACAGGTGCGCTCATCCTCTGGGACAGGTGCGCTCATCCTCTGGGACAGGTGCGCTCATCCTCTGGGACAGGTGCGCTCATCCTCTGGGACAGGTGCGCTCATCCTCTGGGACAGGTGCGCTCATCCTCTGGGACAGGTGCGCTCATCCTCTGGGACAGGTGCGCTCATCCTCTGGGACAGGTGCGCTCATCCTCTGGGACAGGTGCGCTCATCCTCTGGGACAGGTGCGCTCATCCTCTGGGACAGGTGCGCTCAAGCCTCATGCAGAATGGGAACCCACATGTATTCAGCTAGCATGAATGTGATTTTTGTTGTATGTGTGATGGGGTATACGCCACGCTGGCCATGAGTAAGGGCCGTGGGGTGGTCCAAGCTGTGACCCAAGCCGTGGTTCAAACCATGGAAGAGAAGAAATGGTTTACCTTTTCTTTCCTCAAGCCCAAAATCCGCCTTTCCTCCTCCCCATTGGTCAACTCCTACCCCCCCACATCCCTAACCCCCATTCCCACCTTATCCCTCGTCCCCACCCCACCCCGCCCCAACCCACCCACCACTGCAGCGTGCAGCCATCGGAGGAGTGGGTGGCAGCACAGGTGCCGCGCATCATCCGCACTGCCGCTGCTGCCACTGGGGGAGGGGAAGAAGAGAGGGGTGCGGGGGAAAATGAGGGGGAGGGGGGCGTGGGGAAAGGGGCGAGGGAGGGCGGAGGGGAGGGGGAGGCGGATGTGGATGAGGAGGCGATGGCTTTGGCGCTGTGCAATGTGCTGGCAGGATGCTGCCTCTCCATCGGTGAGTCGCACCATGCCACGTGCTGCCTCTCCATCGGTGAGTCGCACCATGCCACGTGCTGCCTCTCCATTGGTGAGTCGCACCATGCCACGTGCTGCCTCTCCATCGGTGAGTCGCACCATGCCACGTGCTGCCTCTCCATCGGTGAGTCGCACCATGCCACTGGCCTGGGTGCCGGGCTGTGGGCAGGCTGAGTAGGGTTTGGGGATAGACAATGTGTGGATGGGGGATGGGGTGTGATAGCGTGCAGGGAAGGACATGGTGCAAGTCTGCATGTGTCTATTCACCGTCGCACCTTCCCTCCACCCACGATTGCACCTTCTCCCACTGCCACACTTTCCCTCCTGTCACACCTCCATCCTCCCACCCTTTTCTTCTCTCGCTGCCTTCACTCCACCTCCTCACGTGTCTTCACTCTGTCTTTCCGTCCCCCATCTCTGTCTCCTCCCCTCTCCCCCACACAGGGCTGCGCTATGCAGGTTCAGCCAATGGTGAAGCAGAGAAGCTTCTCCGAAGCTACGCGCTGCTGTTCTTCTTCCTCCGAGAGGTGAGAGGCACGCGGAGAGGTGAGAGGCACGCAGAGAGGTGAGAGGCACGCAGAGAGGTGATTAGCGCTTGGGATATGGGCTGTGGAGGGAGGAGGGCGATGGTAGAGGAGGTGGTGCCAAGAAGGGCATTTTCCATATGTGTGCTTCCAAGAATCATGCCCATGTGTGGTGCATTCACTCTCTGCTCTTTTCTTCCCTCCCCTTCCTATCTCCCTCACCCCATCCCCCTCATCCCACCCCCCTCACTCGCCCCATCCCCCTCCCTCGCCCCATCTTCCTCTCCCCATCCCGCCCTCACTGCAGCGCCGTCCCCTCACGGCCGTGGCCTGCCCGTTCGCCGTGCCGCTGCTGCACTGGCGGGCGCTGCTGGACGCGCGCACCCTTGACACCGCTGTCAACGCTGCCGTGCTCTCCCTCTCCCTTGTATGCTCTGCTGCTGCCCCTCCTACACTCTGCTCTCCCTCCTACACTTTGCTCTCCCTTCTACGTTCTGCTCTGCTCTCCCCAACCCACTCCCCTTTCTCGCTACACAATCGTGCCCCTTTCCTTTCTCCCTGTTCCATACCCACGTTCTGATACTTCCTCTCTTCTTTCCTGCCCCAACACCGCTGTCAGCGCTGCCGTGCTCTCCCTCTCCCTTGTACGCTCTACTGCCTCTCCTTCGCTTTGCCCTCCTTCGTTCATTCTGCTCTCCCTCGCCCTCCTACACTTTGCTGTTCTCCCCAACCCACCCTTCCTTTTTCAACACTCTCTTGCTCCTGCCATTTATCCATGTTTTCTTCTTCCATTCTTTTCTTCCTTCTCTGTTCGTAACCACTTCCCTCACCTCCCACTCAACTCCTCCCCCTTTCTCCCCATCTCATCCTGCCAGGTCATGGCAGGAACGGGCCATCTGCCGTCGCTGCGTCTGCTGCGTTTTTTCCACCGTCGCACCGCTGCTGCTGCCGATGCCGCTGCTGTCAACGCCGCTACCACCTATGGCTCACACATGGCGGTATGCTGCATGGCATGGCAGTCTTGGGCTGCATTGTGGTAATCTCATGCATAGGATGGGCCTGAGGCCACTACCAGCATCTGAGAGTGCAAAAGTACCGCTGCTGCCCCTGCTCCTCCCTTGCCCTCACTTCCTTCAATCCTTCCCTCTCCCAATATCCTGCCACCTCCAATTGTAACTCCACCTCCCCCTCTCCTCCCCCTCTCAGGTGAGCATGGCAATCGGTTTCCTGGGCCTGAGTGCCTGCCAGGCCACCTTCTCCACGTCGCCCCCTGCTGTGGCGGCGCTGCTGCTCGCGCTCTTCCCGCACTTCCCCTCCTCGCCCGCCGACCACCGCTGCCACCTGCAGGTAAGCTGCTCCTTGCTGTGCCATGCGGCAGTTGTGTGGTGTGTTTGGAAGGGCAGGCGACAGGCGGCTGTGAAAGGAGTTTGGAAAGTAGAGGAGGTGGACGAGAGAAAGCAAAACAAGGAAACAAGGGAGCAGGGGGAGAGCAGGGGGGTATGGGGCAGTCGTTTTGTCACAAAACAAGGGCACTAGGTGGGGATTGTCAATTCATGAAGAAAAGGCAAGGAGGGAGGGAGGAGGCTATTACTATTTGGCTCAGCTGCTGTCGCTTGAAATTTTCCGGGTGCACCAACTGCCCTGCCAATCTTATGGCCCTGACTTGCTGTTAGGGTTGGAGCTCTCACCTCTCAGCCCCTGGAATAGGGAGGCTTGAGCGATAGAGTCAGATCAGAACATTAAGGTGCATTGCAAACAATGCTTTCCCTTCTTCCCCTCTCACACCTGTCTGCCTTCCTCACCCCTCACCCCTCTCGTCCCCCTCCCCTCTCGTCCTCCTCCCCATTCCCCCGTCTCCTCTCCCCCCCCCTCACCATGCCAGGCGTTGCGGCATTTCTGGGTGCTGGCGGTGGAGGAGAGGGCGTTCGTGGAGGCTGTGGATGTGGACACGTGGCAGCCTGTCATTGCTCCACTGCACCTCACCCTCAAGCCCTCTGACTCGTCCACTCCAACCGCGCTGTCGCTGCACACGCCGTGCCTGCTGCCGCCGCTGCCTCAGGTGCTCTCTCATTCGCCTCAGGTGCTCTCTCATTCGCCTCAGGTGCTCTCTCATTCGCCTCAAATGATCTTTCCACTGGGTTCAGGTGCTGCTCTTGCTGCAGGTGTTGAAGAAAGGCAGCTCTGGGAAGCAAGCACACATGGGATGTACACATGCCCTCCAACTAACTCACTATGCCACGCTGCCATGCCTCTTCTGCTGCCTGCTGTCACCCCATCCTTCCCTCTTCTGCTGCCTGCTGTCACCCCATCCTTCCCTCTTCTGCTGCCTGCTGTCACCCCATCCTTCCCTCTCCCTGCCGCCCCCACCTACCGCCTCACTTTCTGCCTCCCTCTCTTTCCTCCCCATCCTTCCCTCCCCGTTCCCCCACTCCCATCAGCTGAGGGAGCTGCGGCTGTGTGGCGGCAACTTCTGGCCGCTGCGAGTGGCAGCGAGGATAGCAGGTCTGTGCCCATGCGAGGATAGCAGGTCTGTGCCCATGCGAGGATAGCAGGTCTGTGCCCATGCGAGGATAGCAGGTCTGTGCCCATGCGAGGATAGCAGGTCTGTGCCCATGCGAGGATAGCAGGTCTGTGCCCATGCGAGGATAGCAGGTCTGTGCCCGTGTGGTGTGCATGGAGCATGCATGTGCTGTGGCAGGCAGTATGGGGGCATGCATGTGGTGTGGCAGGCAGCATGGGGGCATGCATTTGGCGTGCATGTGGCATGCATTTGGCGTGCATGTGGCATGCATACAGCATGCATGGGGCATGTATGTGGCATGCATGTGGGTGGCTTGCGTGGTTGCATGGGAAATGCCATGTGGCATGGTGCGAGTGGTTGCATGGGAAATGCCATGTGGCATGGTGCGAGTGGTTGCATGGGAAATGCCATGTGGCATGGTGCGAGTGGTTGCATGGGAAATGCCATGTGGCATGGTGCGAGTGGTTGCATGGGAAATGCCATGTGGCATGGTGCGAGTGGTTGCATGGGAAATGCCATGTGGCATGGTGCGAGTGGTTGCATGGGAAATGCCATGTCGCATGGTGCGAGTGGTTGCATGGGAAATGCCATGTGGCATGGTGCGAGTGGTTGCATGGGAAATGCCATGTGGCATGGTGCGAGTGGTTGCATGGGAAATGCCATGTGGCATGGTGCGAGTGGTTGCATGGGAAATGCCATGTGGCATGGTGCGAGTGGTTGCATGGGAAATGCCATGTGGCATGGTGCGAGTGGTTGCATGGGAAATGCCATGTCGCATGGTGCGAGTGGTTGCATGGGAAATGCCATGTGGCATGGTGCGAGTGGTTGCATGGGAAATGCCATGTGGCATGGTGCGAGTGGTTGCATGGGAAATGCCATGTGGCATGGTGCGAGTGGTTGCATGGGAAATGCCATGTGGCATGGTGCGAGTGGTTGCATGGGAAATGCCATGTGGCATGGTGCGAGTGGTTGCATGGGAAATGCCATGTGGCATGGTGCGAGTGGTTGCATGGGAAATGCCATGTGGCATGGTGCGAGTGGTTGCATGGGAAATGCCATGTGGCATGGTGCAAGTGGTTGCATGGGAAATGCCATGTGGCATGGTGCGAGTGGTTGCATGGGAAATGCCATGTGGCATGGTGCGAGTGGTTGCATGGGAAATGCCATGTGGCATGGTGCGAGTGGTTGCATGGGAAATGCCATGTGGCATGGTGCGAGTGAGGTGGGTCGTACGTACCAAGTGCGTGTGCGTCCCTGTATTGTATCCCCCCCCTACGTCCCATTCCTCATCAGTGTTTTTCCTTTGCCTTTGCTCCTTCCTCTCTTTTTCCAATTCTCCTTGCGCTCCTGTCGTCCTCACTTCTGCCCAGTTATGATTTTTTTTTTCTCTTCCCTATATCGCACACACACTTCTGACCTCCATTAATGACTCTACTCCCTCCGCTGCTCCGTTCTGCTCTCCTCTCCTCCCCCACTGCAGACTCTTCCCACCCGTCCCTGCGAGCCATGAGGGGGAGGCGGCGAGGGGGGCATGGTGCAGTCGCTGCAGGGGGGGGTGGGGGGCGGAAGGCGGTGGGGAGCGCAATGGGAGCGGGTGTAGGTGGGGAGGGCAGTGGGGGCCGGCACCTGGTGCTGCTGGTGAAGGGGCGGGGGGCACAGGCTGGCAGCGGTGGGGGTGCTGCAGCAGTGGGCAGGACAGGAGACCCCAGGTCCCGCATGGGGGAGGTGAGCGATCATGTGCGCTTGCATGCTCCCTGCCCCGCTCACTGCCCCTTCCCCGCTTTCCCCTTCATTACAGCACTTGAGACTTGCAATCTTCACTCCCACAACACAGCCTTGGCCTCTTGCATCCAGCTAGTGCTGTCTTGCATCCAGCTAGTGCTGTCTTGCATCCAGCTAGAGCTGTCTTGCATCCAGCTAGAGCTGTCTTGCATCCAGCTAGAGCTGTCTTGCATCCAGCTAGAGCTGTCTTGCATCCAGCTAGAGCTGTCTTGCATCCAGCTAGTGCTGTCTTGCACCCAGCTAGTGCTGTCTTGCATCCAGCTAGAGCTGGCTTGCATCCAGCTAGAGCTGTCTTGCATCCAGCTAGAGCTGTCTTGCATCCAGCTAGAGCTGTCTTGCATCCAGCTAGTGCTGTCTTGCATCCAGCTAGTGCTGTCTTGCATCCAGCTAGAGCTGTCTTGCACCCAGCTAGTGCTGTCTTGCATCCAGCTAGAGCTGGCTTGCATCCAGCTAGAGCTGTCTTGCATCCAGCTAGAGCTGTCTTGCATCCAGCTAGAGCTGTCTTGCATCCAGCTAGAGCTGTCTTGCATCCAGCTAGAGCTGTCTTGCATCCAGCTAGTGCTGTCTTGCACCCAGCTAGTGCTGTCTTGCATCCAGCTAGAGCTGGCTTGCATCCAGCTAGAGCTGTCTTGCATCCAGCTAGAGCTGTCTTGCATCCAGCTAGAGCTGTCTTGCATCCAGCTAGTGCTGTCTTGCATCCAGCTAGTGCTGTCTTGCATCCAGCTAGAGCTGTCTTGCATCCAGCTAGTGCTGTCTTGCATCCAGCTAGAGCTGTCTTGCATCCAGCTAGTGCTGTCTTGCATCCAGCTAGTGCTGTCTTGCATCCAGCTAGAGCTGTCTTGCATGCATTGGCAACTGCTCTCATCACCTTCTCATTGCCTCCCGCTTTCTCTCATTCTGCAATTCCCTCTCAATCCTTCCTTTCCCCCACTCCCCCATCATCCCTTCCCCCACTCTCCCATCATCCCTTCCCCCACTCCCTCATCATCCCTTCCCCTACTTCCCCCATCATCCCTTCCCCCACTCCCCCATCATCCCTTCCCCCACTCCCCCATCATCCCTTCCCCCACTCCCCCATCATCCCACTCCCCCATCATCCCACTCCCCCATCATCCCACTCCCCCATCACCCTTCCCCCTTCTTTCCCCGCCCTTTGCCGTCCCGTGCATCCCTGGCCATCTCTCCCTCCATCCCCTCTGCCCTGCATACTCTCCTTTCCCTCACTTATTCTACATGCCCCTCCTACCTTGCATGACCACGCACCCCTATACACTCTGCACACCCACCTCTTTCCCCCCCCTGTCTCTTTCACCCAACCTCACACCCGTCATCTCACACACGTCCCTCCACACATTCCCCTTGGCCTCGCTCGGCCAGTTGCCGCCCGTCTCAGCGCGGAGCATGGCAGCCGCCCTGCCAGTGGCCGACCCCGTCCTATCCGCCTTCCACCGCCTCTTCTGCCGCCCCCTGCCGCGCTCCGCTGTTCAACCGCATGCAACCTCAAGGTGGGCAGTTTCTCTCCTTCCCCGCACCCACTGCACCCCTAGTTCTGCACCGCTCCACCACGCTGCCACTCCTCTCTCGTCACACCACGCCTCCATCCATCACTCATATTCACAGCCTCCCTCTGCTCTCACCCAGTTTGCTCTTCATACACGTCCATATGTCCTACTTCTTGTGAGAAAACTGAATGATAGGTTGATCAAGAAAAATGGGGGGATACATAGGTGAGGAGATGGAAAGTAGTTGGGCAATGGGCGTGGCTCAATCATTGGTCCCCGCAACAAGTTGGGGTCCACAATAATTGAGGGGCCCAACCATTTTGGAGCACAATGTCGGAGCCTAGGTTTGACCGAACCCTTTAATTTAGGATAATTACTAGCTATACACCCAAGATGATTCCGGATGTTAATAGCTAACCAAGTCCCATCGAGTGTGTGTATGATACATGATGGGGCTGATTCTAACACTTCCGCCCACCGGCCTTTGGTCTCACTGCCCTCCCTCCCTCCCCCATCCACATGCAGCCATGAGGGCTTCTCATCGGCTTGCCAGGCAGCGCTGCTCATGGCGCACGCAGCGGAGCAGCCGGAGCTGCTGGAGGTGAGCACTCCACACCACATTGCACCACGCCACACCACACTGCTCCTTGTGTGTGCCTGGATTCTATCAACTCAATTCAACTACTGTGGCGGTGATCAGATGTGTGTGGGCTTAGTTGTACAACATTCATTCTCCCACGTGCCCTCTCTCTGCCCCCACCTCCCCCCGCCAGGTACTCCTCTCTCTCGCCACCACCTGCCAGGCCGTGCGCTCGCTGCATCACTCGCACACCACCTGTGGCTCCGCACTGCCCTGCCTCGTCTCCTCCTTCCAGGTGACCTCCTCCTGCCTCTCACCCGCAACTTCATTTCCCTCCACACAGCCTTGCAAAGCCGAGGGTCAAGGGGCGAGTTGTGGCATCGCTGGCACATCAAGCACCGTAACAGTGGCGTATGGCAACACGATGGAATTCCATCGCAGGCACCTTGAGCCGTAGCCTCGATGGAATTGGACCAAAGGCACCTTGAGCCGTAGCCTCGATGGAATTGGACCAAAGGTACCTTGAGCCGTAGCCTCGATGGAATCGGACCAAAGGCAGCGAAACAGTGGCGTATGGCAGCACGTGGGCTCTGGTCGTTTCTCAGCTTTCAGGGCCCAGGGCACGGGCTCCGAGCATGCGTGGCCCTGTGCTTTTGCCTCAATGTCACTCCTTTCCGTCCCACGCTTCTCCCCATCACACTTCACTTCTCCCCTTCTGAACAGTCTGGGCCCGTTTGAAAAGTGACGAGTTGTTCGCCTTGAATCCACCCGTGCCTGCCCCCACCCCCCACCTTCCCACACCTCGCCCTGATTACGTCATCCCAGGTGTTGGAAGCCTTCATTCCATCGCTCCGTGCACTCTCCTCGCCCACCCTTTCCCACCGTGCCAGTCCTCCCCAATCGCCCATCGTGAGCCCGCTGTTTCTCCGCTCCCTCTGCTCCACCCTCCACCGTCACCTGCTTGCACCCGCTCACCGCACCCGCTCTCACTCAACCTCGCCCCTCCTGCGCCAACACCTGGAAGACTACTCCCGCCGGGCCCTGCTCCTGTGGCGGCAACAGGAGCAGCAGGCATCAGACTTGGCGGGGGCAGCAACAGCAGCAGAAGCATCAGGCAGCATGAGCAGGCCATTGGCAGATACCACGCAGGAGCAACCAGGCAGTCAACTCTTCCCGCTCATCCTCCTTGCGTTTGCCTTCCCCTCTCCACTCTCTCTGGGCCGCGCCCTGCACACGGCTATGGCCTCGTGCTCCCCACCTGCCTCTGCCGCTTCCACTCATGCACCACTCTCCCCGCCCCTCCCGCTACCGCTGCTGCTGGCGCTCCTCCTCCCGCATCTGCGGCAGCACTCAGCTGTCATGGCAATGCTGCTGGAGGTTGTACAGAACTTGAGATAGTGTCATTCAAGCAGGGATGTTTGTGTTTAAAGGACACATCCAAAATTACCGTGTCGGCCCCATAACTGTCACCACTTTCATGTGACTGGTCGAAAGTTTTGAGTGGGTTTTTTACGCGATTGGTTCTCGATTTTCCCACCAAACCTCCTTCTGGGATTTTCCGAACCTACAATTTTTTCGTTGACTTCGTTGTGTAATTCGGGGTGTGGCCCAGGGCTTATTTTTTTATTTTTACTACTCTGAATTTCCAGAGTTGTTTTTTTGGGATTTCCAGAGTTGTTTTTTTGGGAACTCTGAGTTCGTGACCGTGGGGATGACATGTCAACATGGCAGTGTCAACATGAAGCGCGCGGAATTTAGAGCGTCAAGCACTGTAGCTTCAGTGTCAAAACGAAACGCAACACAAAATCCTGCGACGCAACTTTTAGAATAGGAATGCAACGGAATGATCGAAACTAGAAAGTGTGAGAGTACAAATATGCAACCCTAACAACTGTACTCCCTATTGTGCTACTCATTGTAGCCTACAAGCATAGAATTACATTTGACACACCCCCATAGGCTAAGTGAGGGGCATCAAAGCAAGCAAGGTGAACAAACGGTCACAAGACCAGTCAAAGCAAGAAGCAAGGCAAGCTCAGGGTGGATCTCAAGGACACCACACAAATTCCGAGCGCAAGCAAGCGGCCACAAGGCCAGTTCAAGAGTTCACTAGGATATAAATAGGAAGCACAACAAGCAGAGCAAACAACAAGACTGCAGCAACCGAGGGCCTACCTCAACAAGCCCCAACTGCACACAGAACCTGTGGTGATCACCAAGCGCCAAGGCCTTGGTGAAGACGTCTGCAGTGTTGGCCTCTGAGGCCACAAAGTCCAGGCGTGCCTGGCCGCGTCGCTGCAGCTCTCGCAGGAGGAAGCACCTCACGTCAATATGCTTCACTCTGCTCTCCAGTCGAGGCTCTTGACACAGGAGGATCATGGCCTTGTTGTCAGCGTACAAGGTCGGTGCAGAGCGAGGCCGCTCACCAAGGTCGGCGAGCAAGAAGGTCAACCAGCGAAGCTCCTGTGCCGCCATGGCACCAGCGTAGATCTCTGCCTCTGCACTGGAAGTAGCCACAGACGACGACCGTGTAGACCTCCACGACACAGCACCAGCTCCCAGACTGAAGCAGTAACCCTGAGTCGAGCGCTGAGTCTCCACGTCGTCAGCGTAGGAAGAGTCGCAGTGACCAGTCAACGCCACTGGCTGAGTCCCTCCAAGCACAAGCCCCATGCCTGATGTAGTCGCCAAGTACTTCGCCACCCTCACAGCAGCTGTCCAGTGGACAGGACGGTGTCTCCCAGTCGCAACAAAGCGAGAGAGGATGCTGAGGGGAAAGGCGAGGTCCGGCCGAGTACAAGTCATCAGGTACATGAGGCAACCCACAAGCTCTACGTAGGGACCACTGGGCTCAAAGGGCTCGTCAGGAAAGGGGCCAGTGAGTCGGTGGTCAACAGCAAGAGGAGTGGGTTGTGCAGTGGAGAACTGGAAGTCGAACCACCGAAGGACCTGCTGCACCATGTGTGACTGCATCAGTGTGATGGTGCGAGCGGCTCTGTCCCTGGTGATCTGCAGGCCAAGGTAGCGCTGCAGCTCACCCAGGTCAGTGCACTTCTGTCTCTTCTGCAGTTCAGACTTCACCTGAGCCAGGGCTGCCCTGCCTGCGGTAGGAAACACCAAGTCGTCGACGTAGACAAGGATAAAGAAAGGAGTAGAACCCGCTCGAACAAACAACGACGGGTCGGCGGAGGACGGGCTGAACCCAAGGTCACGAAGCGTGGAGCGAAGAGTGTCGTGCCACTCACGGGGCGACTAGCGGAGACCGTAGACTGGTCGCCTCAGGCTCCACTGGGTCCCAGGTGGGAAGGTGTCAGTGAAGCCAGGAGGATGGCGCAGCCAGATCTCCTTGTGCAGTCGGCCCTGGAGGAACGCAGTGGAGAAGTCGAGGGAGTGCAGCTCGTAGTCTCGCTGCGCTGTTATGTGGAGTAGCACCCGAAGAGTAGTCATCTTCGAGGTCGGGGCGAAGGTCTGGAAGAAGTCAACTCCCTCACGCTGACTCAAGCTCCTAGCCACGTAGGGCGCCTTGAACACCGGCGGTGCTCCAGGCGGCCGCTTCACCTTGAAGAGCCACATGCCATCGACTACGTTCGCCCTGGGAGGGGGAACTGCGTCGACGTAGGTGCCTGTGGATCTCCAAGACGCCAACTCTGAGTCCATAGCCGCTTTCCACTGAGAGGCCCACGCCCCTGACACTTCCTCGCGGTAAGTGCGAGGAGTCGGTATGTCAAGGGCGTCGGGGTCTCTCTCAGGGGAGAGCAGCATGGCACACACAGAGAGAGAAGCGGCTGCCCAGTACTCCAGCTCAGACTCTCTGTCCTCTACGACGTCACAGCCAAGGGCAGAGGACAGAGGACAGACAGACAGAGGACGGGAGGGAGGAGCTGGCACCACAGGGGTGGCGTAGTCAAGGCGGCTGGCGGCAGCAAACTCAGCGACAGCGGCAGTGAGAGCCGAGGCAGACGACGGAGGGAAACGAGAGTTGGTGACAAGAGTGACGAGGACACGTGCGGCAACAAGACGAACAGCGCGGTAGTAGTCAGAGATAGGAGTGGGGAGGGTTGTGAGAGAGGACGGAGGAGGAGATGGGAGAACAGACACAGGAGAAGGAGAACGACCACGAGACGAACAAAGGAGGGCAGTGTGGAGGTCAGTAACAGGGGACGAGTGACGAGCATGCAGAGGACAACTGGTGATCAAGTCGCGACGGACAGAAGGAGGAGGAGACTGAGGAGGAGGAGGAGACCAGACCGCCGGATGGTCGTCAAGAGGAGGCAACGGAGGAACAAACACAGGAGGAGACTGGGAGCGGACAGGAGGAGAGGAGGAAAGGCCAAGGGCCCGCAGGCCACTCACAGGTGGGAACAACTGCCGCTCCAGAGGAAGCTGTGGAAGCGCCTGCGGCTGCCGCTGCTGCTGCTGCCGCTGCAGCTGCAGCGACGGCTGCGGCTGCTGCTGTGGCTGCTGCTGCTGCTGTTGCTGCTGCTGCTGCTGCTGCTGCTGCTGCTGCTGCCTCTGTTGCTCCAAAAGGTCCAGCACCTGCAGCTCCCGCCGCTCCCTCTCCAACCGCTCCTGCTCCTCACGCTCACGCCGACGGGCAGCCTGGAGACGCGTGTCGTGGCGGTGGGGAGGCGGAGTGGACTCCGCAGAACCAGGGTCTCCAGCTCCAGTCTCCTCAGACTCGGCACCCCCAGAACCAACACCTCCAGTGTCAGGACCCCCAACTCCAGCACCCCCAGAACTAGCACCTCCAGCGCTAGCACCTCCAACTCCAGCACCCCCAGCTCTAGCACCCCCAGAGCTAGCGCCACCTGCACCAGCCCCTCCAGCTCCAGCACCCCGCAAACGAGCACCCCCAGACCGCGCACCACCAGCGGCTGCACCTCCAGCTCCAACACCAACCAAGTCCACAGGAACCTGTCGCGGAAGTGCCGAAGGCTGCTAAGGGGACTGTGAGGAGGACTGCGGGGAGGCAGACGCTACCTGACGCGCGACCAAGGGTAGAGGGGTAGCGTGGGACACACCAGACGGGGCAGGACCAGGGGGGGGAGGGGGTACCGGAGGAGCAAGAGCAGGAGGAGGAGAGGGTGCCAGGAAAAGGGGGGGAGGGGGTAGTAGGACACAGACTCGTCAAACCGGACGTCACGGGAGTCTAGGATCTGGTGGAGGGGCGGGTGGTAAAAGGACCAGTCGGCAGAGTCCACTGGGAAACCAAAGAAGACACAGGGGACGGGGCGTGCCGAGAGCTTGTCCGCAGAGGTGTCGCGAACAAGCGCAAGGCAGCCCCAGACTCGAAAGGCCGACCCAACACCAGGGGAACCAGTCCAAAGACTGGTCGGTGAAGCCTCGGGCCGCGAGACACGCGGCTGGAGGTTCAGCTGGTGTGCGGCGTAGCGAACCGCGTAGGGCCACAGAAAATGGGGCGCACGGGCATGGATCATGGACGTGCGGGCAATGTCC